ACTATTATACTGGGAGAAAAAGAGAAAATAGGATTTGCTTGACAAGAATTCTCTTTATTGCCTCGCTTTCCTGAAATGCAAAAAATGAATGATGTATGAAATAGAAGTTACACAACCATACATGGTTTAGCAATTCTTAATTTTCATTATTCCCCCAATTTTTGATTACAGTTTAAGAGTCATTGGCTGTGACCCAGAATAAACTAAGTTTTGGTGCCATATTTTCTGTCATACCAAAGCTTTAAAAATAGTCCCAGCAACTTCCAGCAGCTAGATCAGTGATTGAAGCCACAGGGCAATTTAAAAATTAGTTATTTTAGTTAATTATCCTTGGGGTTCCACATTGTGTGACTATACTATGCTTAGTTATTAAACAGAGTTTGTACTTCAAAAACAGGAAGATGGGTTTAAAACAAATAATTTAAATGAAGCCAGTCTAAAACTATGGAGAAATAACTACAGAGCATGGTATTTTACAAAAGTATCTATGTATTTTGCATAAGTTGACTATTTAATGGAAAATAAAAATTCATTGAGAGAGAAAGCTTATGAACTCCTAGGGAATCAAAATCATTGATCTAATACCACATAAAGCTGACCATTATTTTTCATAGTTCCTATTAATTGGGTTATGTAAAAATAACAATTTATAGACTGATGACTGAAAGTCATCTGCAAGTGTTGACTACACAAGAGTCAGTTCGAAAAATTATCTTAAGATGTCTTTCCCTTCAATAGAAAGTCCACAGATTGGGAGAAGATCTTCACTAGCCATACAACGGACAAGGGTCTCATATCTAAAATATACTTGGAACTCAAAATATTAAATCCCCCAACAACAAATCTTCAAAGAAACAACTGCCCAATAAATAAGTGGGCTAAAGACTTAGAGAAACTTCTCTGAGGAGGAAAGAAGGATGGCCAATAGACACATGAAGAAATGCTCAACCTCTCTAGCCATAAAAGAAATGCAAATCAAAACAACTTTGAGATACCACCTCACCCAAGTTAGAATGGCTATAATCAAGAACTCTAATAACAACAGATGCTGGAGGGGATGTAGACAGAAAGGAACCTTACTGCATTGTTGGTGGGAGTGTAAACTTGTTCAACCACTTTGGAAAGCAGTATGGAGGTTCCTCAAAAGACTCCACATAGAGCTCCCCTAGGACCAGCAATCCCACTTTTGGGCATTTACCCAACTGTTCACAACCAAGACCACACTAAAGCTACCAGCACGACTATGATTTTTGCAGCCTTATTTACCATAGCTAAGATATGGAACCAACCCAGATGCCCCTCAGTAGATGAATGGATCAAGAAAATGTGGTATATATACACAATGGAATTCTATGCCTCCATCAGAAAGAATGACATTGTCCCATTTGTTAGGAAATGGAAAGACTTGGAAAAAATTATATTAAGTGAAGTAAGCCAGGCCCAAAGAAACATAGGTCCCATGGTTTCCCTTATTTGCAATATCTAGTATATTTCTGAGTCCAGCAGAAAAGGTCAGATAAGTTGATGTTAGGGAAATGAACCCTAAGATATGTATTCAAATGTTTTTGTCTTTCATGCGATTGTGTCTAACACATTTATAAGATTATTTCTTTGTTGCTTTGTATGTCCCTCTCCCACGGTATAACCCCTGCTTTCACTGTATTTGATGTTATTATAATTTGGGGAGGGGAAGGGAAAAAACAAATCATTTAAATAGGGATACAGGTGGACCCATTGCAACAATGAGACATACAAGTCGTATGTCAAAAATGAACTTTACAACTTTGGTGGGGGGGGAGGGAGGAAGGGGGAGGAGGATTGGGTGGAGGGGCATGGGGAGGATGGGAAGGGGAAATAAAGGAGGAGGCTACAATGCTTGATAAGAAATGTACCCATTATCTTGCCCATGTAATTGTAACCCCTCTGTACAGTATTTTCACAATAAAAAATAATAATTAAAAAAAGATGTCTTCCCTATTGAGCTAATCCATTTATCCATTTATCTGGTCCGTTCCAGAGATATAAATGCTTTACATTTAATAAGAAATAGAAATTAAGGTCTTGAAAATAGAAACTATTACTATAGCTTCTTTCCCAAAGGTATATATAGTATTAAGCAAAAACACTGTCCTCATAATATCAGGCCCAACCTATAGTAAGGTTCTCAACTTTGACTGAAGTTCTCAACCTTGAATTGCTAGAGGAAGTTAAAAAAAAACTCCAGGGCTGGGAAGGTGGCTCAGTGGTAGAGAGCTTGCCTTGCATGCATGAGGCCCTGGGTTCGATTCCTCAGCACCATATAAGCAAAAAGAAAAAAAAGTGGTGCTGTGGCTCAAATGGTAGAGCGCTAGCCTTGAGCTGAAGAGCTGAGGGACAGCGCCCAGGCCCAGAGTTTAGGCCCCATGGCTGGACCCCCCCCCAAAAAAAACCCCACAAAAACTCCAGAAGTCCAGGCGGCACTTAAGAATCTATCTCTGTGGGTCAAATCTGTCTCTGTGAGTGCAGCATGGGTGTCGTTTCCCTGGAGATTATAATCTGTAGCCAAAGTTGAAAATCAGGGGGTACACATAACCTCTTAAATGAGTTTCCACCTAGACTAGTTGCACTAGTGGCAGTGTAGTTGGGTGCTGGTGGCTCATACCTGTAACCCTAGCTACTTTAGGAGGCTGAGGTATGAGCATCACATTTCCAAGCCAGCCAGGGCAGGGAAGTCTGTGAGACTCTGATCTCCAATTACCTACCAAAAAACCAGAAATGATGTGGTGACTCAAAGTAGTACAGCACTAGTTTTGAGCACAAAAGCTCAGGGATAGCATCCGAGCTCTGAGTTTGAATCCAAGAATTGGCAACCCACTCCCCCCGCGCCCTGAAAAAAGGTGGCAATGTAAAGTACATCTGTTCCTTCTGTAGAAAACTGCTGAACAGAAATAAAGCTGTTTTAAATGGCAAACAAAATGTAGAAATTGTCTAAGCTTTATGTAGAAAGTGCCTCTGGAATATCTACTCAGTTCACAAGAAATTTTTTTGTCTACCTCCCTCTCACATTCGTAGAAGAGAGGCCAAATGAAATCCAACTCCAGTACTTTTGAATTGAAATTGAGTTGGTATGACCCCTCCCTCCAGGGCTAAGAGTGTCCAAGCAGTCTGGACATACTGAAGTCTGTTGAAAGGGCATCATAAGTGTGTTGGATGGGTATGTTAATATTAACCTGTGTGTTACTATTTCTAAGTGGTTGGATATATGGGCTGTGGAATAGTTGAGTGTTCTGGCAGGAGGCCTGAGTAGCTGACAAAGTTATAAAGAAAGAGAGAGAGAAAGAGAGAAGGCAGCAAGATCACTCAGAGGTGTGCAGCAGAGAACACTTCCAGACTTCTAAGGTAGACACTTTTTGCTTGTTTAGCATCCTGCAGGATACGGTCAGCAGCACCATTTTCTTCTTCAGGGACTCTTTCACCTTCATTCTGGATAGTCCTGGGAATACTGGAGAAGTTGGCCTACCAACGTCTTGCAGTTTGAGAAGAGACTGGAGACAACAAAGCATGACACAGGCATTGGTGTTCTTCAATGGTTGTGAGAAACTGTGAGCTGCCTGCTCCAGGGATCCCTGCCCAGATTCCTGGGGCCTCTGGAGCCTTGTTGTTCTGGCTATCTTCAAATTCTGGGATGGGATGAAGGATATCTGTACTTACAACTCAAGAATCCAAATAGAGTTCTCTATCATCATTGAGGTCCTAGCTCAAATCCATCTGCAGCATTCTGCACTGGGGTTCACTTCGTACCCTTAAGTTGTTTGCATAAAACAGCTCAAGGTATTTTTTGGTATTTATGAGTTTTAACGAACACAGACTTACCTGGCTTCTCTATTGATGGGGATAGTCCTGAGACTATTTAAAGCAGAACAAGGCCTTCCTACTGGACTCCAGCCTTCAAAGTCAACATCAAGAAAACCCAACTCATAGTATTCTGCATGCATTGTGAAGCCTCATTTGTGGATTTTCATTTTGTAAGTATGAAGATCTTAGAAATTCATAATAAAGGTATATTTGAGAAGAATAGGATTAAAAGCTTATCAAATACAAACATGGTTCTACATAATGTATGATCCCTTGAACAGGAGCCCAAATCTACTCATGAAAGTAAAAGCTATTATTTCCTCGATCAGGCAACATTAAATGAAATTATAGTACTACCATCAAATTCAACTGTACACCAATAATTTTTCATTTCCTAGGGTACTCTTCTTTATTAAAAATCTTTATTAAATAACAGAATATACCTGCTAATACAATAAGTACTTCCTCGAGCTCAATATTAATGACTTGGCACACAATTCAAGGCTGTCTCCCTGAATGTAGGAAATACACAACTTTTGCCTTGTGATTCAGACCAAAGAAAGCTTTCCAGATTTTTCTAAGCCCCAAGTCACAGGTATGCTGTGTTCAAAGGGTGAGTTCTTGTTAAATCTGGATCCACAGAGTTAGATGCTAAGAACTCCAAGATAATTGGTAAAAGATTAAAAAGAGTAAAACAAGCACAATGAGTAAGTAGCTCAAATGATTAACATTGCTATGATCTTTGCACACTCTGGATGAACTAAAATGAAATGGAAATAGTGGGGCCAGTGCCAATAAAATGTGATCGTGAAGTCTGACCAGTTTGTTTTCTAAGTGTCTATCAGTAAGAACTAGCCTATGGGGGTTCAGTGGTAGAGTGCTTGCCTCACATGCATGAGGCCCTGAGTTCGATTCCTCAGCACCACATAAGCAGAAAAAGCCAGAAGTGGTGCTGGGCTCAATGGTAGAGTGCTAGCCTTGAGCTGAAGAGCTGAGGGACAGCACCCAGGCCCAGAGTTCAAGCTCCACTACCGACAAAAACAACAACAACAACAACAAAACTAGCCTAGGAAAGACTGTATGGTAAATAGAAAAAGGCAGTTTAAAAGATAATCTTTAGACTGTCACACTTTATTTTTTAATATAAATACATCATAAAACTAAAGGTACCAGATATCTTTTAAACAAGAATACATTTTCTGTAGTATATCAAGCCATCATTTGATTAACACTGCAAAAAATTTGAATGAGTAACTCTTAATTTGTGTATATAAAATACTTGAAATAAAACTTGTAAGATGAGAATAAACAAATAAGAACCAATTTAAAGTCCTAAAAGTCCTAAAAATCTTGTCTTTGGGTCCCTTCACAATTTCAAAAATCACACATGTCTACAGAAAGAATGTAGGTATTCTTAACATTGAACATTATTTACAAAACAACTTCACTTCTCTCTATTCCTTTTGGTTCCTTGGGCTCATGTAGCCAAAACACAGGCTGTGGTACCTTTTCTACAGACTTCAAGCTGTTACTCTGCACTGACTAGGCGGCTACTCTTAACCCTGGGTGAGGGGATCATACCAACTCGTAGTATTTCCCAGTCTGGGGGTCAAAGTAACAGTTTAGACAAGGGTCGTACAACAGAGTCAACACTTCCTCATCCTCTTCCACACTCAGATCTTCTTCACCTGCAGGGAAGGAGAGCCACAAATGCGTTAGCTGTACACCGGGCCTGGATTCCTAAATGCCACATGAGAAGGGTGTTGAGGCAGGGATCACCATTTCTCCTGCAAGAGTTTTTGTTTTTTAAACCAAGTGTTAGGCTGGGAAGGAGGAATGTTGTGGAAATGTTGACACACCACATAAGCACTGTAAGATCCAGAAGAAATGCCAGTGATCGAAAGGGCCAGCTTCACAATCAAAAGGACAAAAACAACATGGAGACTTTTTTCTTTCAATGCAAGAAGAGATGCACAGAGCCAAAAGACTAAACAGTTATGTTCATTAGGATTAGGGAAATAGAAAGGATTCAAAATTAATGATCAGTTCTAAACTTGCACATGGGCCAAAGCTATATAGAATTCAATAAAACTCAGATTCAATGGCAAAACAGAAAGCCAGTCTTCATTCCTGCATCCTCCAAAGGCTACCAAACAAATGCAGATTAAGATAATGTCATAGACAAATATAAGATATATACAGGAGAGAACACATTGGAAAACTGTCTGCCATGCCATCTGAGATTTTAGTGGTAGGGATGGTCTACATTTGCTGGGGACATAAACATGGCCTGGTTTTTCTTGTGATGGTGATTTAGGCAGATTGGATGAAGAGAACACTACTTAAGTAATGAACAGTTTCAGTAAATGACATGAAATTCAAAGCAATGTTTTAGGATTGGGGATGTAGTTCAGTGGTAAAACAATTTCTTAACAATGCTCTGGGTTTCATTTCTAACAACAAAAAAAAGATTGTTTGTTTTTTTAAGCAAAGATGCTTCTGAGATCTCTGATGTTCCCAGTACTTTGGTCTTTGAAAGTGAGCCCTCCAGAAAGTTTCTGTAGAAGGAATTCAGGGGCTGAGGTTCTGACCTCTAAGCCAGAGAGAAGAGTAGTAGAAGAAAGGTAAAGGGGGGTAATTAGCAAAAACATTTCTTCCTACAGGAAGCCTATAGCTTGAGTCCAAGGGCCGTTTCCTGAGGGCTTGGGCAGTAGGCATAAAACAAAGTACTGCAAGTAACACAGGCTCAGAAAAATTGTTTCTGCAAAATGTGAATAAACAGCCTATGTTCTAAGTAGGCAGGGCATACATCTTTCATTGCAGTATTTAGGAGGCTGAAACAGAATAATACTAGGTTTGAGGTTAACTTGACTATGGCAAGACTGTTTCTCAAAAACAAAAAAAAACCCAAACCCCACGATCTTAAACTTCGTTGCTCAGAGTAATGGAAGGTGTCAGTGATTGAGTCTCATTTTACCTGGTGCTTGGTCATCATTAGGGCATTGACAAACTAGAATTAGGTTCAAGAGCATGACCAGGCGGTGAGGGTTTGAAACCAAACCAGAGCCATCCTTCTTGTGATGAATGAAAAACATATAATGTGATCTTTCCTGGAACCAGGCATTGAGCTATGTGTCAGGGATATAAAGATTTCAAGACATCGATCTTGTACTCAAGGGACATGTACTGAAGTGGTGAAATGTGCCATCAGGGGAGTCACATTTCTTGGGAAGTGGCTTTTAAAAGGGGTACCTTGCTTGCTGCTGTTTTATTGGTAGAGCCTCGATGTTTCAGTATTTCCTCACACACTAGCTCCTTGGACACGGAGGAGCCTGTGGAATAGGTCCCTCTCTACAGTGTGAAAGATGAGATAGCTCATACAAGGTTGCCTGGTGAATTCAATGCAGTGTTGGGGGACAAACTCAGGTTTCAGTGTCCTTTGTAATGTAATATGTCAAAACAACAAATTGAGAAGCATTAATCTGGTCTGGCTCTGGTGCCTTGGGTTCACACATAATAAGCAAGCAGAAGACCAACTCAACATGAATAGTAAAACAAAACTTCAGCTCGATCAGAAGCTGCTAATCTAAGCTCTAACTAGGGATTGCCACTTTAACCAATTACATGTATCTCTTGGCCTAGCTGTCAAATATGTGTCATAAAAGTTTCCCTGCTAGTCTCCTTTTTAGTGGAGCCCCATCACTGTGGTCTAGTGATAAGTGATTCATGAGTTGTGTGCTCCAATAAACTCTTCAAAATCTTAATGCACCTAAAATTATCTTTTGACACCATGCCTGGATGTTTTTGTGAAGGGAGTGGTGTAACACATTTAATTGGGAGCTATTACATTAAAAGATCTTAAGCATAGCAAAGAGTAAAAAAAAAGTGTCCTACATATTCAAATATCAGATTTGGAAACAAAAGAAATTTGATTTCCTACCTATTAGAAATGATTGGTCAGCATGACACAGTCCACATGAATGAGCAGAGGCAAAGAGTTCATTAAGTTGAAAGAAACTGGGTTAATATTATGAACTCCAGAAAGGAGAAAGCTTGGGAAAAGTGACAGCAGCCTTTCTTCCTTCAAGTAACATATAGGAAGTTAGGAAGAGTTTACTCAGAAGTAGTGTTGACCAGCAAATGGAATATAATCTCTATAGAATGTGAAGCAGTAACTGAGGCAACCACTGATGAAGAATTTTGTAGATAAACCTGCTTAGGAAAGGAGACCAGATGAGTTTCTGTGCCCTTAGCTATGATGGTTTCTATCCTTGAAGTATGACAGGACCACAATGGATTAATAGTATAGCTGACCCGAGCACCTGGCACAATTTCTAATTAAGATCAGGAAGGCAGAGAAGATTGTTCTTCTTTCCTTTCTTTTCATCACTCTAAGAGTGGTCCCGGAGGCCTGCTTTCTGTACTTCTTCCTCTAGGTGGAGAGCCTGCAATCGCTTTCCAAATGTGCAGCCCATACTAGAGATGACCGACTTCCTTTGGGTCCCCTTTGCACATCAAAGGAGACCAGGTATGCTCTTTACTTTCAAATACTAATGCCATCATCCTTTTAACATTTGACTACTTCAGAGAATGGAAAGACTTCAGTTCCTCAATAAATCTACTGTGTGCTCCCAATGTGACAGAGGGAGTCATGGCTGGTTTAGATGAGAACCATCCATATACAAAACAAAAGCAGCCACTAAACCGCTACATTTCACTAACAAGTAGTGAAATGGGGAGTTGATACTGCAGAGGTGCTGAGAGAAGCTGCAGGCCCCAGGTTCTGATCTGCCTGAGGACAAATGGGAGCTCTGTTGTGTGCTGCTTGTATGACTGCAGATCTGTGGGTTAATTCACCTCAGTGGACCTGGATTTCCTCATTTATGAACAATGCCTATTTTATAGGGTTTTGTGGAAGTTTAAATTGAACATTTTGATAGTCATCACACAGAAGTGGTTCAATAAATGATAGTTACAGTTACTATAAAAGCTACTATTACTACTATTACTATTACTACTACTAAAATAGTCATGAGGAATAAGCTCTAACTTAATAACTCAAAACACCCAGCAGTACTGAGAGAGCTTAAAGTATGAGTTGGGAAAGGCTTTCTTCAGGCATGTGACACAACAAATGTAGACAAGGGCCAAGGTCGAATCCAAATCCCATGTTTACCACATTGATGCTGTAGGACACTGGGGAAATTCATTGCTCTGAGTTTCCATTTCCTAAGTCATGTTATTAATAGTAGCTGTCACAGATCTAAATGGGACTAAGTAAGATAACCTTCATCATACTGTTAGCACCCAGTAAAAATAATTATAATCACCATGGAAAATGTAGTATATCCAAGGTAGATAGAGTGGTATGTTCATTTACAAATTATTCCCTTTTCCCAATTATCTGATTTTTTTTAGTACCAAAGGGAAAAAAAAAGTAGAAGTGGTTTCGAAGGAAACCAAAAGCCCCCAACTAGTTTTATATAAAATACTCTGATGTGATGTTGTTGATGATGATGATGGTGTGTGTGTGTGTGTGTGTGTGTGTGTGTGTGTGTGTGTGTGTGTGTGTTGGTACTGGGGCTTGAACTCAGGGCCTGGGCACTTTCCTTCAGTTTTTTAAATTCAAAGCTAGCATTTTATTATTTGAGCTTTTTGGTGTTAATTGGTGATGAAAGTCTCACAGATTTTCCTGCCTAGATGATCCTCCAGATCTCAGCCTCCTGAGAAGGTAGGATTATAGGTGTGAGCTACTGATGTCTTGCAGGTTTTTTTTTTAATGGTACTAGGATTTGAACTTAAGAGGTTCATACTTGCTAAGCAAGTGCTCTACCACTTGATCTACTCCATCAGCCTCTGAATTCCTCTTAGAATAAAAATAGTCCTTAGACCAACAATGATATATTCTTCAAAAAGTATAATTAATTTTTTCCATCAGGTAGAATGTTTAAATCACTGGGGTAGATGATTGTAAGTTAGTCTCTTTCAGGGATCTGATATTAGAGTTTCTGTCTTTACATCAACATTTGGACAAACTAACCTCTAGCACATAAGAAATAAACGCTATATACTTCTTTTCTACATTCTGTGCTTTTACAAAAAATACACATAAAAATTTAACCTGATGCTAGTAAATGAGATAACTTGCTGCATTTTCCAACCAGTCAGGAATCTTTCAAGATAAAAATAACTGTTCTAACAGGCCCTGGTCATTATCACCAACTGCAAAGGGGTCAAGGCGAATCTAATTCATTAGTAGCGCTTCTGCTACACAATGCATACAAACTGGAGCTGTGACTGCTGTATAAATGCATTTGTTCCATTGCTATAGAACTCAAACCTCATGCATTGTAACCACAGGACTAAGATAGGTTCTGTGGCTGTTAGAACCAAAACTTTAAATGGATGGATTAAAAAACTACCAGCAATGACATTTGTACAAAAATTGGGTGAGATTGTGTATAACTTTACATTGAGATAAGTGCTTTAAACATACATAAAAGGTTTTGTTTTCATTGTAACTTAATTTTCAAAGGCTCAAACTTACATCATTTTGCCAGTGCAGTCCCTACGTAATGAAATTATAATATCATTAAGCAATTACCACTATGATGTCAAGCATTGGATATGTTTTGAAAGGTAATTATCCTGCATGGGTATGGGGTAATTTTCAATTATATTCTTGGAT